AGGTCAGAGCGCGCGTCGGCGCCGATCATCACGCGCGGTTCTCCGTTCTCGCCGCGGCTCACGACGGAGGGGCGGCGCGGCGCGGGGCCCTTCACGCGCGGGATCAGCTGAGGGCGAGACGGACTTGTCAGGGACTGGCGAGGCGCTTCGGGCGTAAGGCCAGTTTTCCTCCACGTTCAGTAAGCTCTTTAATCCTCCTTTCTCTATCCTCCCATCCCCCTTCACTCTCCTCTCCCTTTAACCCTATTCCCTCTCCCCTTCCTTTTCTCCTATCCACTCCCCTCCCCTTCACCCCAGCCCCCTCCCAGTCTCCCCCTCCCTTCTGAAATCCCCCCCTCCCATCCAATCCCCTCCCTCTCCCCTATTTCCCCCATCCAACCCCCTCCCCCCTCCCCTATTTCCCCATCCAACCCCTCTCCCTCCTCCCTCCCCCCCCTCCCATCCAACCCCCTCCCCCCTCCTACCCCTATATCCCCCTCCAACCCCCTCCCCCTCCCCCTCCTCCCTCCCCCCTCCTACCCCTATATCCCCCTCCCTCCTCCCCTATTTCCCCATCCACCCCCCTCCCCCTTTTCCCTCCCTTCCCCTCCCCCAACGTACCACTGGAGGCAGCGTCGTGTGGAGTCCTACGGAGCGGTCCTCGGCGAAGGACGTCCTGGACTGCCTGCTGGCGCTGATGTCCGACCTGGGGGGGCGGGGGGGACGCTCGGGCTTGTCCTGCGGCATGGGTGGGGGTGGAGGCTGCGGGGGGGGGGAGGGTGCGTCAGAAAGTGCAGTGAGGTAGGTATTTTTGCAATATTATTAGTTGTCTATTATTATTATCATTATTATTATTATTATTATTATTATTATTATTATTATTATTATTATTATTATTATTATCATCCTCATTATCATTATCATCATTATCATTATCATTATCATTATCATTATCATTATCATTATCGTTATCATTATCATTATCATTATCATTATCATTATTATCATTATTATTATTATCATTATTATCATTACGACAACTACTATTACTACTATTCTCATTACTATTACTATTATTATTATTATTATTATTATTATTATTATTATTATTATTATTATTATTATTATTATTATTATTATTATTATTATTATTATTATTATTATTACTATTATTATTATCATAAACTCATAAACACCCACCATGAACGACGTGGGCGGCGATCGTGGGCGTTCGGCGGAACTCTCCGACGAGGTTTCGTGGATCATGGCGCGGCGGTCGAGGGTGCTGCCCATGCCCGCCCCTCTCGCCCGGAGGAACGTGGGCGCGCCGGTCATCTGAGGAAGAAGAGGGGGGGGGTTAAGAGAATGTGGGCGTGGGGAGACGAGTGGGGAGGGTGGGGGTGTGGTGGTGAGTGGGTATGAGCATGTGCATGTGGGTGTGGGTTTAGGTGTGTGGGTTTGTGTGTGGGTTGTGTGTGTGTGTGTGTGTGTGTGTGTGTGTGTGTGTGTGTGTGTGTGTGTGTGTGTGTGTGTGTGTGTGTGTGTGTGTGTGTGTGTGTGTGTGTGTGTGTGTGTGTAAGTGTGTAAGTGTGTGTGTGTGTTTTCATTTCCTGTTTTTTATCTTCCTCTTTTATTCATTAATTTTCACTTTATCTGCTACTCTTACTCTGCATATAATTCTTAATATACCTATCACTATTCTAATCATTTATCAATAACATCACCATCATCACTACAACTACCACCATTACCAATATTCACCATCACTATCATCACCATCACTCAGCATCTTACCTGTCCGAGTTTATTCCTAGTGTTGCGTCTTGCTCTGAGGCAGCAGAGGACGAGGCACAGCATGAGCAGGAGGATCAGCAGGGAACCCACGGTCACCAGCACGATCAGCAGTACTAAAGAAAACGAGATAGTATTAGGTTCTAAGTTTTAAGGATTATAGGTTCTAGGTTCTAGGAGTGTAATAGGTTGTTGGTTTTGAGGGTATTTTAGGGTTCTAAGCTGTATGTATTATAGGCTTTGGGTTTTAAGTAATGTAGGTTTAAAGTTCTAAAGACTGTACGTTCTAAGTTTTAAGTACTACAGGTTCTACATAGTTTTATATAGGTTCTAAGCTTTATTTATTGCATGTTCTACGTTCCAAGTACAGTAAGTTCTAAGTTAAAAGTACAATAAGTTCTAAGTTCCAAGTGCTATATGTTTTAGGTACCAAATTCCGTAACGTACCTCTAAGGTTAATCTGGCACTGCTCGCCGCTGAACCACTGGAGGCAGCGGCACTCGTAGGAGCCGTCAGCCTTCTCGATGCACTCTCCTTGGAAGTTGCAGAAGGCGCACTGCTCTGTCTGGACTGTAGGGGGGGAGGGGAGAGGAGGGGAATCAGAATGCGAAGAGAGAAGAAAGAGAATTGATGGCTATTGGTGTATATGTCGTCTTGTTTATCGTTTTTAAGTTCTTGTTGATACGTCTCATTCGGGTAACGTGAATTACTTTATCTGAATACAATGAAAACAAGAATGGAAAGGAAGAAAATCCTGAGGAAACACGACGAAAGGTCTAAACTACGAGTCGTTCCCGCACGTACCAGCGCACTGCCTGCCCGGCATTATATCCATGTCCTTGTAGCCGTCCTTGCAGGAGCACAGGAAGGAGCCGAGGGTGTTGAAGCAGTGGGCCTTGTCGGAGCAGTCGTTGTGGTCGACCGCCGAACACTCGTCGAAGTCCTGCGCCGCCAACACCGACACCGCGCGGTTGGCGAAGAGCTCGGTGCCGCCCAAGGAGAAGTTGGTGTTCCTCAAGGACGACTCGAGGGCCTCCTTCACCACCGACTCGCTGATGATCTCCTCTTCGTACTCGGTGCGGCCGGCGTCGCCCCGAGCGATCTCCACCTTGACTTCGGCTATCAGCCCGTGGTCCTGCGGGCGAGGGGGACACGGAGGAGGGTGATTTAACGTGACTGATTTGATATTAGGTTCATTTGCATAACATTAGCCTCGTGGGAAGCACAGGCACTCAGAAATATATGTTTAAAAAGTACGCTACCCCACCCCACCCCCCAAAAATACAACAATACCATACAACCACCAGCGACATGCCACCACCACTCACCATATTTCCCACAGAGGCTGGCATCACGGTCTCCTTCGTGTCCATGAACTTGGTAATGGTAGCGGCGTGGTAGCGGGGCGCCAGGTGAGAGCCGAGCATAGCCTGGTCGATACCGAAGGTGGCTTCGTTGGAGAGCTCAATGGTGAATGGGTGCGAGGCGTTGCGTAAGAGGGAGTTGTAGATCAGCTGATCGTTGCTCACGCGGTCGAGCAGGATTTGCACGTTGTAGGCGGCCGATGCTGCAAAGAGAGAATTGCATTGCGTTGTGAAACTTAATTTTGATTTTGATGTAATCTGTCAGATTTAGTTATATTTTGATTGTGTTAATTGTTTTAATCTTGTGTAAATGCATCACTTTTGTCTGGTAATCATAAAAATGCATTATTCCCCTACAAGAAGACAATATATACTCCGATACGTTCAATAGCTATAAGTTGAATGTTTTCTTCTCAAAACTCATTTCAGTTTATACTGATATTTTTCATTCCAGCAAGCTGACCAATTAACGCCAAATTATCTGCTAAAATAACGTCGAACAAGAAATACAAATGATACCCTCTGACACTTACGTTCGCATGCATCAGCGCTGCCTCTCCTGGCGTAGCCCGCTCGGCAGACACAGGCGTAGGCACCGCGGACGAGCCTGCACACCTCGTGGCGCGCGGCGGAGCACTGTGGGTCGCACGGGGACACGGCGGCGCGCACGGGGCCCCCCACGGTGATCTCCTGATCCGGGCTCTTGCTCTCCACCACGCGGCTGATCTCGTTGTCTTCGGCGATGCCCAGGCTGGCCTCGTTCAGCACCACCTCAGCGTCCTCGGGGAGTCGCAGGTCGTCGTCCCCGGGCTGGGCGTCCAAGGGGAAGGACGGGTAGTTGGCCGGGTCGAAGGGCGAGCCCGGGGGGTACGTAGTGGGGTCGCCGGGGAGGAAGGCGCCGTCCGCGGGCGCCGTCGCCGTGATGTAGTTGACCTGCGTGGCTATTCCGACGACCGTGGTGACGATGGTGCGCAGGGGCAGGGTGCTGCTGATCACCTGCGTCAGCGTGGATGTGACGCCGCCCGTGTAGAGGACGTCAGTGCGTGTAGCGGTGATGGTGCGAGCCTCTGTCTCCACGCGAGTGATGTACTCCGTGGGGAGACCGCCCGGGCCTGTCACCACGGAGGTTAGGTCGCCCGAAGGCTCGTTACTTGCTGGAGGTCGGGTGAACAGAGGTGTGAAGATGGTAGTGGCGCCTGACATCACGGTCGAGGAGCCAAGGAACACGGTACGTCTGCTGTCAGCCCCCTGGCCTACGAGGATGGTCTCGACGCCCGTCAGAACGGTTCCTTCTCGACCCGGAGGCGGGCGTGGCCGCTGGTCGTTCTCGGAGTCACTCGACAAGATGCCGACGCCCACAGTGGACTGCAGCACGAACTCACCTCGTGCGGGCGAGACGATAACGGACGGCTCAGGCCGGTAAGAGTCGACCGGCCTTGCGTGGACGATCTGAGTGCCGACGATGCGGTTGTCCCCTTCTATGCTCACGATCGTGGCCGGTCCGACTCGGGAGGGCTGAGGCGGCTGCGGAGACGGCCTCGAGAATATCCCGCCCGGCTGCGTGTCTCCCACCGCCAGCTGATCACCCAGGGACTGTGGGTTCACTGGGAGCGGGATAGGTCCGCCGTCGCCTGGCACCAGCACTCGGACTGGCGCCGGCACGGGTCTCGTCTCCTCGAGGAGGACGGGTTGGCTGGGCTGCAGGAAGAAGGACGTGCGCTCGAAGCCACTTGCGCCTTGCACGGATGTCGGCGCTGGCTGGCCTGGCGGAGGCAGATCCTGCAGATCAACTCCGCCGAAGAAGATGGTCTGAGATCCGGAAATCACAGACACGCGTGTCGGTCCCAGAGACTCTGTGATGGCGGTGAAGCCGGACTGCGTCTTCTGTGGCGGGAGGAAAGTGGGGCCGAACTTTTCCATTTCATCAAGATGGATGGGGGTGGGAAGGTCTGGCAGCTCGGGCACGATCTTGATGAAGCCTGGGTTGGCATTCAACGCCGGTGCGCCTCGCGGTGGCTCTCGGGCAGGGAATCGGGGCTGCGTTTCAGGAGCTGTTGGGCGTCTGAGAGGAATGAAGCCATGCTCGGGGCCCTCGGTGTGGTCACGAGAGCTGCTCAGCGAAGCCCCCACACCACCCACTGGGATCAGCAGAGGTTCACGCTGTGCGGAAATGAGAGTGTTGGGAGGTCGCAGGGGAGAGTTGATCTTCCTGCGGTTGTCGTCGGATTTGGCAGCAATCTGGCTGTTGAGATTGTTGCGGAGAATGCCAGCCACAGCCGTCAGCATCGGACCCAGGTCGATGTTCAGGCCGTTATTTCCAGACCCTGTGATGCTGATGCCGCCAGAACTGCCCTCGGCGGCTTCTGAGCCACCGTCGCTCGAGGAGGAGGAGGAGGAGGAGCTGCCGCCACCAGAGGAAGAATCGCCGCTGGCTGCCGCTGGAATGACTCCTCCTGGGAAGAGTTCGTCGGGGTTGGGCAAGTCAGGACGCACGGTGAAGGGCACCTCTGGTAGGATGGTCGTTTCGCCTCCATCGCCAGGGTCCACGACAACGACTGTATCGCCTGGACCCAACGTTGTCGGCGTGCCATCGGTGCCTGGCACGACCGTGGTTTCATTGAGGACGGACGTAGTAATAGTAGGATCGGTTTCTGGATCTGGTGTCGTCGTGGATGGGTCTTCCTCGCCAGGCATCACGGAGGCTCCAGTGGCTGGGACCACGGTTGGTGAGGGACTAACAGTAGACTCGACAGCTGGTACCTTTGTGGACGCCAGCTGCGCCGAGATCGAGGCCAGGTAGGACGACTTCAGGGACGACAAGTGCGCCGAGTCGACGATCACAATCGTCTGGCCGCTGATGGACGAAGTCGAAGGCTCGTCCGTGGGGCGGACCAGCAGAGTGGCTGATGTGGTGGAGTCGCTAACCACGAAGATGCCTGAGGCATCGCCCTCCTCCACCAGCACTGTGGCTATGAGGCCTTCTTCCTCGCCCGGATCACCCACAGTGGGTCGACCTGCCAAGAAGGAATTCTTCAGCGAAGACAGATAGGATGGGTCCAGCTGCAGGCTCGGTCCTGCAGACGAGGCAAAGTCAGTCGCGAAGATAGGCTCGACGGCAGCCGTGGGGTTGATGAGGAGGGACGCTGGCACGCTGGCCGTGGTCACGGTGGAGGTGAAGATCCTCGTCCTGGTCTCCAGCCGCGAGAGCACTTCCCCGCCGCTCATCGTGGTGTAGTGTGTGTAAGTGGCGAATAAAGTGCGTAGCTGTTTGTACAGGTTATCGCGGATGTGATAATACATGGTCTGGGGCTCTGGCTCAGCAGCGGCGGAGGGCCTCAGCTGTTCCGACAGGTAAGAGCTCCTGATGGAATTCAGTTCCTCCGAGCTCAGGGCCGACGTCAGCGGCTCCGTGACGATGTTCGACGAGACCTCGATCCTGGACGCCGTGATGGTCTCGCTTCCCTCCAGGATGGTGGTCAGGTACGTGAGCGTCGTGTACAGCGTCTTGGTGGCGTACACCACCAGCTCGTCCTGATCGGCGTTGAAGGACACCTCGGGCTGGAGCGCGGGCGTCGGGGTGAGGGTGACCGCGGCCTCGCCCTCCAGCGTGGGCGTGGGCGTCGCGTAGGTCGTCTCCGTCACCACCTCCGACGAGACGACCGTATCGCTGCTGATCCGGCCGTCCTGCGCCGTGTTGTAGTAGGTGAGCGTGGTGAAGTACGTCTTGGTGATGAGGGACGTGCTGCTCGGGGCGACGGTCGAGCGCTGCACGGACGGCGCCTCCGTGATCACCACCTGCGTCAGCACCTCCTCCGACGTCTCCACCTTGTCGTTGGCGTCCGTGCGAGTGAAGGTCTGCGTGGTGAAGTACGTCTCCGTGTCGAAGATCACCTGTAACGTCGGGCGCGATATTAGATATGAGGTCAGAAATATAAACAGAACTACATATTACTTCGTAACTACATCATTAAATGCACTCTCTCTCTCTCTCTCTCTCTCTCTCTCTCTCTCTCTCTCTCTCACTCTCTCTCTCTCTCTCTCTCTCTCTCTCTCTTCGCTCTCTCTCTTCTCTCTCTCTCTCTTCTCTCTTCTCTCTCTTCTCTCTCCTCTCTTCTCTCCTCTCATTCTCGCTCTCTCTCTCTCTCTTTCGCTCTCTCTCTTTCTCTCTTCTCTCTTCTCTTTCTCTTCTCTTCTCTTTCTCTCCCTCTCTTTCTCTCCCTCTCTTTCTCTCCCTCTCTTTCTCTCCCTCTCTTCTCTCCCTCTATTCTCTCCCTCTCTTCTCTCCCTCTCTTTCTCTCCCTCTCTTTCTCTCATTCTCTCCCACTCTTTTTCTTTCTCTCCCTCCCCCTTTCCCCTCTCCCTCTCTCCCTCCATACTCTTCTCCTCTTCTTCCCCTCTCTCCTTGTCTCCCTCTCTCTCCCTCTCTCCTTAACCACACACCTCCGTCCTCTCAATGAATGACCCGGTGTCCGGCAGAGGAACAGTCACGACGTTCTGCACCGTCTGCTTGCTGGTGATGACGAAAGGTCGGTTGCCAGCCAAGAGCGTGTTGTAGTAGGTGTAGGTCGTGAAGTACGTGTTAGTCTGGAAGGCACCGTCATCCCCGCCGGCGAGCTGAGTCACCTGTCGTTGTCATTCATAAAAAGTTGGTTGAGGGTCACGTTTGGCTGGGTGGGGCGGTTGATTTGAATTTATTTATTCGTTTAAAAGGCTTAAAGGGGTATTTTTTTTATGAATTAAGCTTTAAGGACGTTATGCTAGAGATGGTTAGGGTTGTGATCTGTGGATTCGGTTTAATTAGGGAATTTGAAGGTATGTATTTACTTACAAATATCAATTTTAGTATAGCCATTAAAATGCAAATTGATTCCTTTAGTTGCACACACACACACACACACACACACACACACACACACACACACACACACACACACACACACACACACACACACACACACACACACACACACACATATATATAATTTAAATCAAAGTATTTTTTTCCTTAATATCTGAACCGATTCCACAGATTTCATACAAAATACTGTTTTATATAAAGCATTTAAAATAAAGGAAGGCGTTCATCAGCAATATTCAGTTATCTTTTATGGGGGAACAAAATTACATTTTTAAAACCTTTTCTGTTGTAATCAGTTACGTCTCTTACTATAAGATAATGCACCATTCAGCTGCAGGTGTACCAATATACTACACCTTGTCGTAATTCATTCATATACCGAAGCACTGACATATTCTATTAATAACAAAAGGTATGGATGAGGGTTAGTAATTTCTCATTCATACCTTTCCTACATTGGCTACGATTGGTCAGTAAACCAATCAGTAATGTAAAAATGCTATGAAACTTCTAACACTGACATCAGATTACGATAATCTACCTCTCCTACTCTACAAGCACCAATAATTCACTAATTCATTATTTATAGTTAGTACCATCTTCTCAGACTATATACAAGCCTTTTTTGCGACCCAGTTCGAGCATGTCATACCATGAGGCTCGAAAAAACATCTCTATGAGTGACATCTAATCTATAATCTTTTTCTTTTTTTTTTTCTTTTCGTCTGAGAAGTCATTCGACATGGAGTTCCGCAGCGATCGAGGACGCAAGGAAGAAAAGGAAGCTAGACCTTGGTTCCTGGCGGCGTTACCTGAGCAGTGACCCTTGGGGCGAGGGAGTGAAAGGGGTCGGCTGGGTGGTGGGTGACCACGCTAGACATGACCTCCAGGCGGGTCATGTCCCCCGTGCCGGCCATCTCCGTCAGGTAGGTCACCGTGTGCAGGTACGTGCGGGTGAGGATCAGGTCCGAGTCCGTCACAACCCTGAGGGGCACGGACGGCTCCTCGGGCCCCACCAACACCGGCACGACCTTCAGATCTTGCTGACTCGACCCGCCCCCGGAGACGCCCTTCTCTCCTTCCCCTCCTTGTTCCTCCCCTTGCTCCTCCTCTTTCTCGCTCTCCTGCTCCTCCCCTTCTGCGAGTCCCGAGGGCGCGAAGAAGCCCTGGGAGGCGAGGAGGGCGAGAATGTTCCTGAGTGGCTCCGGCGAGTCCTGGAGGTCGACGGGAGGGCGTCTGGAGGAGGAGGAGTACCTCTGCCCGGGGCGCTTGCGAGAGAGCTTACGTCCTCGCGCCGCCTGTTAGTAGGGGTTAGTCGACACAGCGTGAGATCCATGCAGGAGGCGCAGAAGGGGGCGAAGGAAGGGCAAGATCAGCCAGGCTTGTCCCTTCCTTCGACGAAAGGGGAAAGAGGAAGGGAAAGAGAGGAACTGGGGAAACAAGGTGAAAGGAAGGGAAAGAGTAATAATTTAGGAATGTTATAAAAAGTAAGAAAGGGAAAAAATGTCGATACCGGGTAACGAAGAAAGAAAGAGAGCAACAGCCTCAAATTCGAAAATGAGAAAAATCCGGAATAAAAGGAGAGAGGAAAACACACAGACATTGCAACAGGAAACTAAATTTGTTAATATTTGAAAAAAAATGACAGCTTGTTTACTTGTTTCATGACACCTATGTTAATAACCCAATCACTCCATTATTTTGTTAGTTATATTCACAAAACAATCATGAATTGCACAGATCAATTATACATCAAACATTTATCTAAAACGGTTTCATCATGCATTTATCAAGCACAAGATATTGCATGCAAGGGATGTTATTTAGACATGCAAATCATGCATTTTAGATTTATTCAAGAAGTCAGTAAAGTGAGCTAAAGAATCCATCCACAGTCGGTCTGTCATGCACGGCGGAGGTGCGAAGAGATATATATAGATGTTATCTTCTATTCTATTTTTCGGTGTTTTTATTGTTTCCATGATACTCCGTTCTTCTTCTTCCTCTTCTTCTATTTCTTCCATTTCTTCTTCTTCTGCTTCTATTTCTTTTTCTTTTTCTTCTTCTACTTCTTTCTTCTTTTTCTACTTCTTTTTTTTTCTTCTTCTTCTTCTTCTTTTTATCTTTCTTCTTCTTTTTATCTTTTTTCTCTTCCTTCTTCTTCTCTTCTTTCTTCTTTTTCTTCTTCTTCTTCTTCTCCCTCTTCTTCTTCTTCTTCTTCTTCTTTTTCTTCTTCTTCTTCTCTTTTTCTCTCTTTCTTCTTCTATTTTTTTCGATTTCTCCTGTCGTCTCGTAGCAACATCAATGCTATTTAATTTCAAGTCTACAAAACCACATCGTTTTTAAGGGACTTCGAACAAGAAGATCTGATTTCTCTTTTTAAAATGTTCAATCAAGATCTATTTCCTTCTTTAAGAAATATATCTCATTATAATTGACTTTTGGCCTTGCAGTTTGCTTACGGTTTACTCTGAACCTGTTAGAAAAGTCTTTTTTTTTTGGCTCTTAAAGAACATGAAAGAGATATCTATATTTGGTGTTTTATTATCATTCATGTATAACGGGTGAGCTGTTTTTTGTGTTTGTTTGTGTTTGTTTGTTGGTTTGTGTGTGTGTGTGTGTGTGTGTGTGTGTGTGTGTGTGTGTGTGTGTGTGTGTGTGTGTGTGTGTGTGTGTGTGTGTGTGTGTGTGTGTGTGTGTGTGTGCGTGTCCGAATTATTGTGTGAAATGAGTGAATACATATACATTTACATGTGAAATCGACCTCATCGATTGAAGGAAAACGCAGCCCTCATATTTACAACACTACACAAATTGTGCCATTAAAAAACAACAACAACAACAACAAAATCAACAATCATAAACTACAGCCGTGATCTACACTAGTTACCGGTGCACACCATCGCCGATTTCTAATGACGGACCCATTTTCTATGACTGACCTGGTCGGGCTCTTGGGACGCGAACAGAAGCATTTGGTCCGAAAGCGTCGACGGAGGCAGCGTGATCGGGCGGCGGAATTTCTCGAAGTTGTTCGTGATTGCCTGCTCCTGTGGTCGTGGAGAAGCCGTCTTGTCTCCTGTAGGAAACGGGGGAGGGGGGGAAATAAATGGAGGAAATTAGTGACGTCGAAATGCGTGAATTCATCTACTTTTCAATGGATTATTATGTCAGGTGTTAAATAATGATATCTGTACACTATTAAATCTCAATCATTTAAACATAATATATATAAATATATATATCATATATGATATATATATATTGTACATATGTAGCTAACTCTCCCTCCCCCTAAATAATATAGTAACCTATAAAATCTAATACCTTGTCTAGTAGGAACATGTATCTCTGAAATGTGTGCTATATATGTGTTTTATTATCATCTTTTTTTTTTTTTGATCCTCAGGATTTTAATCATATCAGCTTTTTTGTGTGTTTGAGGGGTAGGAGTAAGGATAAAAAGTATACTAACAAAATTCGGGTGCGTGAGCTATATAAAAAGGGTGCGCGACAGACAAAAGATTGCGTGAAGATTAAGAAAAACAAAATCTAATCGGACAACATCCAAACTCCTTGCTATTTCATCTATTCTTTCTTTTTTTTTTCTTTTTTCTTTTTTTGTAAAAGAGGGTAAAAGGGTGCGTGAGAAAAAATTGCGGTGTTTGAAAAAAAAAAATGAGGTGGGGGGGGAGGGAAAAACAATCTGGGCTATATTGGAATGTCATTTGTTACTGGCGGAAGGCTGTATACAGTATCATCGTTATTGTTGTTATTTAAGCGTTGTGGATCGCAAATATTAGCGAAAGGGTTAACTAGGCTCTTAAGTTATTAAATTATTAGTACAGCAAAAAGTCTCAAAACACAAACAAAAGCGCAACGGCCTCGCGCACAGCATCCAGCAGTCACAAACAAACGATCCAAAAACAAACATTGGAGATTCCTCCTCTCTTTCTAAAACACAGCTCCGACGCTCCGGCTCGCTGACCTGCCCTGACCTCGCCCAGCCTTCGCGTCGCGCTGCTCCTCCTCATGCACTTACCCGCGACAATGACCTCCACGCCATTGCTCATGACCCTGGTGGCGAGATTGTGTCTGGCGCCGATGCTAAACCGCGCCCCGAGACGCTGTCCGCTCGGGTCGCCTTCACTCGATTCCAGCACGCCCACCAGGTTTGACCCGGGCTGTCCACCCACCGCCCGACCCGACCCCTGTCCTGACCCTGCATAACCAAGAGGGACTTGCTTTGCATTCCGCCATAACCGTTTCAAGCATTGCAACATGAGGTCACCCGGAGGTCACCTCAAGACGTAAGCGCCTTTATATTCGTGAGCGAGTTGCAGAAGTATGCAAAAAAAAAAAAAGTAATGTGACTGTATAGTTCTGCTGAATTAGCAAGAAAGCACAAGTCTAGCATAAGCACATCATTCTATTTTAAGCAAATCGTGTGGTTCCGCAACGAATATAAACATAGGCATTTACGTTCTAAATATCAGTGCACTGCTAACATATGTGATACAAGCTTACTTGTGGGGTTCTGACATTTGTTTAATTCAAATGGAAAAGCATAAAACTTGATAGAGAGTGAGAGAGAAGAAAGGAAAGAAGAGAAGAGAAAAGAGCAAAACAGAGGAAGAGAGAAGAAAAGGATATGAAAGAAAATAGAGAGAGAGAGAGAGAGAGAGAGAGAGAGAGAGAGAGAGAGAGAGAGAGAGAGAGAGAGAGAGAGAGAGAGAGAGAGAGAGAGACAGAGACACAGACAAATAGTAAGGAGAGAAAGGTAGAGATAATATAGGAGAACGAGATGAAGAACTACAGTATATCAACCAAAAAGGAAGATAAAAAAAAATACGCACATAACTGCAAATAATGACAGCCTCACAACAAATCAGAACCCGACAAGCTTAAAATCTTAAAAGCTACAAAGTGGAGGGGTGGGGGGGTGGGGGGTGGCAAGGGGGGGAGGGGAGGGGAGGGGGGAAGCTCAGCATATCACAACACGGGACTCACAACCCCTGTTAACAAGATTACAACCTAAGCGAGCTGGGAGAGGGTGAGAGAGGGGATGAGAAGCTTTCATAACAGAGGGTCCCGTTTGCTTTATAAAGGGAGGGGGGAGCTTGGGGTTATGGGGGTGTGTGCGTGGTTGAAGGTAAATCAACTAATAACACTGCAAGACCGAGGGATTTAAAGGTCTTTGGGGGACTTAGTGGCATAAGTAGTCTGTAAGTTTTTTCGACGTGTACATATTAGTTACTAGTACACATGCATTTTTTTTCTAACACAAATTCCGTGTGTATATGCATATATACGCGCGCGCACGCGTGCACACATACACACACACAAACATATATATGTGTGTTTGTATAGATATACATACACATAAATACAATGTATATATGTACATATACATATATATGTATATATTCGTGTGTATATATATATATGTGTGTGTGTGTGTGTGTGTGTGTGTGTGTGTGTGTGTATACATACACACATACATACATACACACACACACATATATATATATATATATATATATATATATATATATATATGTATGTATGTATGTATGTATACACACACACACACACACACACACACACACACACACACACACACACATATATATATATATATATATATATATATATATATATGTGTGTGTGTGTGTGTGTGTGTGTGTGTGTGTGTATGTGTATACATACATACATACATACATATATATATATATATATATATATATATATATATATATATATATATATGTGTGTGTGTGTGTGTGTGTGTGTGTGTGTGTGTGTATGTGTGTGTGTGTGTAAACATATATATGTATGTACATGTACATATAATCATATCTGTGTAATGTTATTCCTCATTTGCTTTAGTATACGCTGATAACAAAGTAATAAAACACAAAGCTAAACAATCTTCATCTACAAATGCTGGGGTAAACATGCGTTATCTCAATACACATCTAAAGCCACGGTTAATAAGCCATAATATCGTAATATAAGCGAAGACACAATGAACGGAATCGAACGAAACGTACCTGCAATTCCAGCAAGGGAACCTCCGAAGCCGAAAGCTGGAATTCGAACAGACGGATGTATGAGTAACACAGAATGGAAATTACGAGGCCTTTTTTTCTCTCAACAGCAACTTAGTTCCTAGGACTTTAGGGTGAATATTCTAATTTTAGAGAAATGTACTTAGCTTCCTATTATCGTTCACCAAAAAATATTCTTCTCACTTACCTACACTTACCCATAACTCCTACAATAATAATGATCCTGAAAAATAACGTTAAGAAAATACATACATATACTGGCAAGCACAAGGCCATGCACCGATGTTAGATGTGGAGGGTATGAGTCAACGTCATAACTCTCACATTTCTGCATACAGCTAATTAATACTGGCGTTTGAACAGCAGTTATCAAACGAATGAGTTCTACACTTATCATAGCACATACAGATATATACACGGCGAGGAAACAGGCAAGATTAGTAACAGGGGACAGCAAGGGATCAAGTGGTATGTTGGTGTGTTCTAACGATTTGTTAGTTGTAACTGCTTGTTGTTAAAGGCAGAAGGAAGTCAACCAAGATGTAGGTACTGGTCACTGTCGACCTCGATGATTACATGCTGTTTATAACTACAGTACTGCCTAGCATTCACAGCTTAACAAAGTTTGTTGAATTAGACATATATAATGCTTATGTCAGCAGCATATGTAATGGTTAGTAGCAGGTTAAATTGAAAGGGGGGAAAATGTGTAAAATGCATGTAAATTTTCATGCAAACTGACGCAGAAGGATAAAAGGTTTTAGAAATGTCTCTACATTACGGCATAAATTGAAACTACACACTACGTACGAAGTTACAGTTATCTTGTTGATATAAAGGGCATGCAACTTACCCCTAGAGGAGGACTGCTGGGGTGCAGTAAGGGTAGGCGACACTTGGGACTCAGTGTCAGTAGTGGGGGCCACCACGTCCTCAGTGAGCAGCGAGAGGGTTGGTGAGGCATCCGGAGACGCAGCCGCCGCGGTGGGCGAGAGTGAGACAGAGGACAGGCTCAACAGGGGGACAGAAAGAGAAGGTGCGCCTGTGGTGGTGGTGATGAGGGCCGGATCAAAGAGCTCTGGGGAATCGGTGATGAGGTGGATTTCTTCCTCAGCCAGAGTGGTGAGTGTAGAAGTCAGAATGGTAAGTGTAATCGACTGCTCTCCGCCAAGAATTGGAAGCAGTGTGGTGGTGGCATAGGTACTATACACCACGTTAGAAGCCATAGAAGAAGTAGTGGATGGCTCCTGAGTGCGGGTGCGTCGACGTGTGCTTTGGCCACGTGTGCGGGTGGGAGCCACGATCTGAGTGTAGGTTCGTTCGCGCTTCAGTGCCTCAATGATGTCAAAGGAGCTACTTGTGATGGTTAGCTGTGTAGGTCTTACAAATCTTGGCCTCGAGGTTGTGGTTGTGGGAGTGGAAGTCTTTGGTGTAACATCTGATGGCTCATCCACTGGAAGTGCTTCAGCTCCAGTGGACTCATCCACTGGAAGGGCTTCATCATCGGTGGCTTCACTCAGTGGAAGTTCTTCAGTTCCTGTAGTCTCATCCAATGGAAGTACATCACCATTTTCATCATAATAATAATCATCATAATAATAATCATCATAATAGTAATCATCAAGAGCAATGTCACCTTCCAAGGGATCAATATCTTCCAGCAGTGGAGGATCTGTGGGTTTGGGTTCTGGGGCAGGCGTGAACCTAAGATTTGGCTTTGATTCAGGCGTTTCCGAGTCATCTTGATGCACGAAGGGGCGTGTAGGACGAGAGCTTCCTGGGCGTCGAATGATAGGGATATCATCTCTTCGAAGGGAAGTGCGAGGAGGCCTTGTTGGCCTTGTTGGGGTCGGAGAGGGCACAGGAGCATCAGTTACTGGAGGAGCTTCAGTTTCAGCTTCTTCAGTAATAGGCTCCTCAGTTGGTTTAGGTGTAACTTTGTCCCTGAATCTCGAGGGAGGTGCTTGTGTCGGTCGTCGGCTACTTGGAAGGCTGAAAACGGAAGGCCTTCTGGTAGGCTGAGATGACTCAGAAATATCATCTGTAATTGAATCTTCTGGCTGTCTGAAAGTGGTAGGCCTTCCACGTTGTCTTGTGGGAGTAGCTGCAGTTGGCCTTTGACGAGTCCTTGTAGAATCAGTAACTGGTTGTTTGGGAGACTCATCAAGCTCCTCAGTCTTTAGGAATGTCTCTTCCTCAGGGGTGGCTATCGTCACACTCTCAAGATCTGTTCTTGTGTTGGGAACTGGCCTTGTTGCTGGTGATACTGGCCTTCGCCTAGTGACTGTAATGCGAGTACGCTGATTATCAACAAACCTTACAGTACCTCGTCCACGGTTCCTTACACCTGCTCTTGATGGTGTAGGTTTTGCCAGCTCTGTTGTAATTTCTTCTGCAGGTCGTGTTGTTTCTCCTCTTCCTCTCTGATGAGGGGGTGAAGTTTGCTGTCCTCTTTGAGTGGCTCTAAAGCTGCTGGTTGTAAGAATTGGTGTGTTGGTAGATACAACAGTTTCATCCTCTGCCAGCGAAGACTGAAGAGGTGTAGATGCTTCAGTAGGCACACTAATTGGTGGTTCTGTTCTTAGTCCAGGAAGTTCTGTCTGCTTCTGTTCTGTATTTTTCTGGACAGCTTCTGGTGTGATGTTTATCAGCGTTGCAGATGCAAGGAATATCTGTGTAGTAAGACTATCTAATACACGTTCTCCCAAGGTAGCAACACTGAATCCATTTTCTAATGTGTACAGTCCAGTAGCAGCCCTTCCTGTATGGAAAGTAGGTAAAACCGAAACAACAGTAGGATCTATTTGATTTGAGACAGTTACTTCCCTTGTAGAAACAGAAAAGGGGGTCTTGTTTTCATACAGAGTGTAGAGATAAGAATACACTGTGTAGAAAGTATTGACTGTAGCTACCAATGGACGAAGTGGACTAGCTACAACTGTTGGCTGTGGAAGGCGCCTTGTCACTACCACACGTCGCCGCCCTCCTGACAGTGTTGTAGTTTTATCTGCAATATCTTCAGTTTCCGTAAGTAGAACTGGACGTCTTTTGGTGACGGTGACACGTACTTGGCGACTAGAACCAGGACTACCTGGTATTTCCTCCTCTTGATCTTGTTCTTCCATTTCCATGATCTCATGAGTTGCCTTTATAGTTCCTTGGATTATACCCTGCCCATTAGATTCTTGAAGTTCATCTGACTTGACTGCATTCTCAATTCTTTTCAGGTCACCATCTGCTAGGAAGTTTGAGGATGGAGAAGCAGGTATTCTATGGAGAGACTGTTCAGGGGTTACTGGTTCATCTACTGGAACTACCTCACCTTCAAGTTCATTCTTTTGACCTACAGGCCGTTTACGAGTAATCACAACACGGCGTCTGTCTTCAGATATCTGCTCGGAAATAGGCCGTTTCCGGGTGAGGACAATTCGACGAGGATTTTGTGCAGGGTTCACTGGGTCTTCCTCGTTGATCTGATCTCCAAGCAAATCTTGATCAGAAGCAAGAATCTGCTGTGGTATCAATTGCTCAGCTACTGATGATGGAACTTTACGACCAGATAGTCTCTCACTGGATGGTTCAACAGGTATTTCACTTAGAGTTTTGGAACCCTGTGATTCAAGCCCTGGCTGTAAAGGCTCAATAACTGATTCTCGGACGACTGGGCCAAATGGTGGTTCTGGCTCTTCAAATACTGGATCGGGAACAGGTCTTGGCTTTCCTGGAATGATGGCATCCTCTAGTGTAAATTTAGCCTGTATAGGAACACTAGTTAACAATGGTGATTCTCCACCAATCCTGGTAAAATCATCAAATCGCACATTACCATGAGTAGCCAACTGAGTGATAGTTTCCTCTGAGCTCTGCAAATACTCACGCCCAATATCATCAACAAGTGTTGTGTAGTATGTAAATGTTGTGTAGTAGGTTGTTGGTGCCTGTAGCTGCTGGATTTGCTCAGAAATCAGACGGCTCTGGAATCTGAGACCTGGAATATTGAACTGTCCAAGAATGGGGCGTTCATCCTCAACAATCTGCTGACGAGTTCCATCTTGGATCTTCCTGGCACCTGGGAATCGAAGTTCACCTTGGTTTTCATTGCTACCCCTTTGTGCACTACGAACATTCCGCTTGAGCGGGGTTGACTCAGCGGGGCCCTCCCATAAAAAAGGACTCGTTCTGTAGGAAGTGCTTTCCGGTACTTGATATGAATACTGACTTAAATCTCCTAACACAGATTCTAAACTTGGTGTCACTTTTCTGATATCACTAGTGTCAATCTCATTCATAGCAGACATTATAAACCAGTCCATGTCATCTGCTTCATAAGTTTCTGGGAGTTGGAAGATACCTTTGTCTGTTTCTATGTAATGGGGAAGGACTGTTGGCTGCACATCCTTTGTAGAGAGAGAACCTCGTTTGATACGAGTTGAATCACCACTTAAAGTCACTGTTGACAGCAAGGTTGAAAACTCTCCTGGCCGTTTTCCTGAGACATATAATGTCACAATTGAAGTTTCAACTGGGGTAGGTAATGGAGGGGATGGTGTGGGAGGGTTTTCTGCTTTCAATGCTTCTTGCTGTTTTAAGGCCTGTTCCAACAATTGTGGGGTGATTGACTGTGTATCAATAGATGGCTCTCGTGTGGGTCTCATCTGTGGAGATTGTTGCTGCAGCTGACCCTGTAGGAGGATTGGCAGAAGCTGGTTGAGGGGGTTAGGATTGATGAAAGGGGATGCAGTATTTTGCGTAAGCACAGTTTCTGTACTTAATTCCGTAGCAGTGATAACCTTCACCTCACTCTCTACAATGGTGGTCTGAATAGTTCTACCACGCAATATGACAGGAATTGCTGTTGATATGTGATTAGTGACAGTGGTGACATAGGAACGTGTGTGCACCCTCTCACTGGTCATAGGTTGTCCCAAACCAAGAGCAGCAAGCAGAGGATTTTGTTGCTGTTGCTGTCCAAGGAGTAATGAAAGCAGCTGCTGGATGTCTCCACCGGCCTTGGTCTCTGTCACTGTAACCACACTATAGGCAGTTGTTGGAAGCTCAACAGGGACTGAGGTACGGCGACCTCCAATGAAGGTACGTGTGTGTGTCACCGTGGTGGTTTCCACAGGATCTACAACATAGTGAGTGATATCATTTTCTCCAGCAAAGGTGCTAAGTACAAGCCTGACAGTTCCATCAATAGTACTTTGTGTGATCTGATCAGGCTGAATTATCTCTGTTTGTAGAGAAGCTGTGATAACTTCCTTTTGCTGAGTTTGTCCATTCTCAACCACTGGGATAGTGGCTTTTACGGGAATTTCGCGAGTTACAGTGATTTCTTCTTGAATTAAGAAACCTCCATCATCACTAGGAAAGATTGCAGGTGGCTCTGTTGGAACTTCAGGTGATGGCTTCTTCCGGAATGCAGTTATTGGGTTTTCTTGTGGTTTGTTGCGGTCTGAGTCACGAGTACTGCCTCTACTACTGCTTAATGTTGGTCTCCTGGCAGAACTTCTTGTGGGAGGAACTATGGGAGACTGACGATTAGGAGTAAATTTACTTGAAGGACGGAAATTGTTATCTGTAGAGGGACGTCTAAATCCTCTTCCGCGAATATTTCCTAAGGGAACAGCACTCCTTGTTCGGCTTGATCTGGGTCTTTGTGGAAGGGTAGTGCGGCTAGTTGAAGGAGTTGTCCTTGACTGGCGGGCTGTAGAACCTCGAGCTCGAGGATTCTCCCTTGCAGGTGCAGGAGGTGTAGGTTGCTTGGGCTCTGGTTCTGGGGCACGACTCCTTCCACGTGCAGGGGTAAGTGTGAAAGGAGAGTTATTGCTTGATCTTGGTGGAGAGGGAGCCACACGTGCTGTAGGACGTGATACTCTTGCTCTACGACTATTGTCTGGTGGAGGATTATTCCTACTTGGTCTTGAATTGCCTCGGGAAGTGCGTTGCCCAAATGTTGCCTGACGCTTTCTTCTCTTGAAAATTGTGTCTGAAACTTCTTGTGCCAAAATCTCATCCAGTTCTTCTTGTGTTAGTCGCCTTCCCCCAGCTTCAACATATACAGGACTCACTTCTGAAGCTTCATTCTGAAGAGCTCTGTTTCTTCGGGGGAACAATTTAGACAAGTCAGGGCGACCCTGCCGGAAGCGGTTCTGCCTAGGTGAATCTAAAGATGATCTATGGAAAGTTGTAGGAGCTTCAGTTGTTGGCTGAATCTCAGGCTCTGTTTCAATGATCTCTGGTTCATCCTTTTCCTTGGGGGCAAATCGACTCACACTCGCACTTGGTCTCTTTGGTGTGTTTGGTCGACGATTAAGGAGTGCAAATGGAATAGAGGATCGTGTTCCCGGGCCATTTGATGTCTGTCTTGGCCGGAAGCTAAAAGGCCTAAAACCTGATTCAGGGTTATTAGAGGAAGATTTATCATCATCATCTATGCTAATTTCAAGGTCAGACTCAGGTGCAGCTGTTACTGTGAATCCTGAGAAGACAGATGATGGTGATATGGATTTAGTACTACCAGGGAAAACTGATGAAAGGGTTCCAGCAAATCTAAAGCCACCTGGACTGCTGGAACCTCTCTGCACACTTGAAATTGAACCAAATCTAAAGCCAGAGGTACTTCCTGGTCTTGGGCTGCTGGTTCTGGCAACACCTGGGCTAATATTGGAAGCACCAAAGGCACCAGGAGTTGAGAATCGTAAACGGAGTGAGGATGTTGGTGTTGTCCTTGCTGATGAAGTACCAAAACCAAACCTGAATGGGCGAGTGGATGAAGTTGCTCTTGTAGTATCAGAATTGCTTGCAGGTGTTGCTGTGACAGTAGGAGTCAAGCCAGTATTTGTAACAGTTGCAGACCATCTTGAACGTCTTATGATAGGGACGAAGTCTGGCCTATTGCGAGAACCAGACGGTCGTTTTTTGAAGTCTGGGAATATTGAGGCAAATTGTAGTTTGCTCTTTGTTGTCGGAGAAACGATTACCTCTTCCTCTGGGGGTTCTGTAACTGCTTCTTCCTCAGGTAAAGCTTCTGTAGCTGATTCTATGGATAATGTATCAGTGGCAGCATCATTCAGTGATGAGTCAAGAACTGGTGTGGCGAAAAGCTGTGGTCGAGAAGTAGAAGCATCAAGAACACTTTCAGCAATAGCTGATAACAAGTCTTCAATGGTAGCAAGACTAGATGGTGTCTTTTGAGTAGTTGTTGGGAAAATGAAGAAAGGCACAGTTTCACTTTCAGTGGTTGTTTCTTCTGTGACAGTAGGAAACAGAAGGAATGGGGTGCTGGTTGACTCTTTTGCCTCTGAAGTGGGAAGGATGAAGAAAGGAGTTGTTTCTGTTGTTGTCTCCTCAGTAGTAAGTGGGAAGATAAAGAATGGAGTTGATCTAGAGGTGGTGGTTGGAAAGAGGAAGAATGGAAGAGTTTCCTTTGTTTCCGTGCTGAGTGTTGGCAAGAGGAAGACAGGAGTACTTGTGGTGGTAGGAGCCACAGTAAAGCTGGTTGTCGACTGAATCTGAGCATAAAGGCCATCAACCACTGTGCCAATAATGTCTGTTGAGAAGACTGTTGTAGTTCCATCAACCACAGTGCTGCCTCGAATGGTGGACAATAGTCCAGTTGATGTTGATGGAAGAGCAATAGATGATTTAGTAGATTCTTCAGTAGTTGTAGCAAACACTGGGAGAGTGGGAGTAGCAGTTACAACTTCGGTTTTCGTCTCCAATCGGCTATTTACAATTATGTTATCTCCAATGTAAGTGGAGGCATAATATGTGTAAGTTGTATAGAATGTAGTCACAGCAGGAGTACTAGATTTAGTTGTTAAGACAAATGTTGGAGATGGAGAAACTGTAGGAAGAAGTTCAGGAACAATGGTTGGCTTCACTTGTGCTGTGGGTGTTATGACATCAGAGTATGTCGTCTCAGAGCTCACAGATGAAGTTGTATTTCCCTTGAAGTACGTTGTCCAGTAGGTAAATGTGGTATAGTAGGTGACAGGATATGTTGGTACTTCGGGAGTAAGAGTCTTGTAGTTCTCCTGGTCACCAGGATCGGTTACCACATTAGTTTCGGTCTCAAGGCTGCTCACAATAGACGAGGTGCCCGAGCGGTAGTATGTGGTAAAGAACGTGAATGTGGTGTAATATGTGCGTGGTAAGAAACCTGAGCTCACTTCTTCTTCGGGGTTTAATGAGGAATCCAGGGAGAATCCTGGAGCTTCTGTCACATCCTGCGCAGAGCTATCTGTCGAGGACTCTGACATAGATTCTGACATGGACTCTGTGAAAGATTCAACTACTGATTCAGTGGTCAGATCATACTCATCAATGCTGATTGCTTCTACCACAGCAACTTCATCTGATGGTGTAGTATCAGGTGTAATAGTAGCACTGTCTACTTCCAATGCAGTAAAAGTAGGAAGAATAGTTGTGGTGACAGAAGAGAAATCATTCTGGATACTCTCCCCAGCACCTTTGGTGTGCACTTCTATCTGGCTAGAAACAGTAGACGACCCATCAACAAACAGAGTAGTGTAGACAGTATGGGTTGTCAGTTCTTCAGTAGCAGAAATTTCTGGTTCTTCAGTGGGAGTTGCTTCAAGTGTGGAATCTTGGGTGAAGATGAAGGGACGGAGGACTGTTGAAGTCTCTAGTCTGGTGGAAACAGTTGTCTGACTGTCTTTGAAGTAGGTGGTGTAGAAGGTGAGGGTGGTGATGTGATCTATTAAATCATCAACTGGATCTGGCTTCAGTGGGGATTCTGTTTGGTCATTTTCTTTGTCTGTGTCCACAATCTGTTGCTGATTAGGACTGGATGCAACCGACCTGCCTAGAGCATTATCATCAATTTCTTCAAACACCTTTGGAGGCAGATCTTCTGTTGTGGTTCCTTCATAATCATATTCATCATAAATATCAAAGAATTCTGTTGTAGGTTCTGGGTAGTCAAAGCCTATAGTTGAAGTAATGGTTTCAAATGGCTTAGTTGCCTGGATGTCTTGGGTTGTTGACACTGGCACAAGATAGAAAATGCTGGATGTACTCTCCACAATTTGAGCATACTGTCCTTGTATGTAAGTACCATGCACATAGGTGGTCAAGAGAGTTGTCATGTCATTCATCGCAATGGTGCCACCAATCGAAGACACAAGACCTGTAGGATACAAATCAACAGTATTGTAGCGCTTAGTAGAGATGATAGAGATGGTGATAATGTCCTTACCCTCAGTGGCACCATCATCTATTCCAGCTGTGTTCACTACTGTTCCTTCAGTCTTGGACACCATCATTGTTTCCACATTCTTTTCATCGGCAACATTCTCTGTTGTCCTAAGTGGAGGAGTCTGAGAGGGAGTTTCAATGATACTTTTCTCTTCACTGTGGCGAGAAGTTGCAAGACGTGGTATTAAAGATGTCACCTCAGGAGCCTCAGTTGCCAGAGTTGGAGTCAGAACTTTGGTTGGTGCCACCTCTTTTGTTGGTGCAACTTGGGGCTTGAGAACCTTGTTAGGTGAACCTGATCGTGGGGTGAAAACTACTACAGTGTCAGCGATAGTGGTTGTGAAGTCTGCAAAACCTACATAGGTTACAGTAGGCAGGTCAGAATCTTCACCTCCAGTCCCAAGGTTGAATTTAGCACGAATGTCATCAATGGACTTTCCTTCACGCTGAGATGACCGCTGGTGACCTTCACTGACACTCTTCCCCACAGAATTTGTAGTTTTCCTAGTGACTCCCACTACAGCCTCGAGGGGCACATTAGAGTGGTCAATTGTAAAGGTGGGAATATCAACCTTTACAGGAGGAGAAGGCTGCAGGTCAGCAATGATTTCATCACCAGTAAAATGTACCTTGCGAGCTTGCAAAAGTGAGTCATCGATTTCATTGTCCATTACATCTGTTTCGCGAAGCTTTTCTTCCATGCTAAGTACTGTCACCTCCACTGGATTCACAACAGAGGATGCTTGAATGATGCGGGTGTGGGCTACTGGGCGTCCAATGGTGATCGTGAGCATGCTCGTTTCACCGCTCTGGGTCTGGGCGCCCTCCATCTCAAAACCTTCGGATCCTTCGATGAAAACTCCTCCCATTTTACGGCCGTCAATCATTCCCTCGCCCATCAGGAGATCGGGGGCAACAGTAGCGTCTATAATGTGAGTTTTAGAAGGCATGATAACCTGGAGGTCTTTCTCCATGTCGACCAGAATCTTCGACTGTACTCCTCCCTTCTTAACAACAACTTCAGTGTGCATTGTCTCAGAAGGCTCAACCTCTCCCACATCCAGTGTGTGTCCTGGCAAGGCAGTGTTTCCAAAGAAGAAGAGGTAAGTGCGGAGATCCTTAACGTAAGACCCAGTGAACACATTGTAAGTTGTGGCCTGTGAAACCCCCTCCTTGATGAACTGTCCTTGGGTTCCCATAAGTGTCACGATCTCATCTCCCACCGGATCAGGTTGAAGGACACCTTCGACCAAGCTCACTTCCAGCTTTGCATGCTGCCCACTGGGACTTTGAGTGAAGAAAGTACCATGGACAGGGATTCTCACAGGAGCTGTTGGAGACAAAGGAAGGTTTGGATGAACATCTGTTATCGTCTCGATCAGTTGTGCGTAAGTCCCGTCAATGTGGGTTCGTATGTAACGTGTCGTCAGGAGCGTGGTCGCATAGTCATCCGCACGCGTCTGCACCTTAGTTGACATCACTCCTTCGGGCTTGCTGCCGGATAACCGCGTAGGCAAAGAGAAGAAGATCCTCGACGAGGTAGATGTGACCTGGGTGTACTCGTTCTTCACGTGCGTGCCATGAACGAGGGTCATGTACTCAGAGGTCGTACCGTCGTTAATGAAAGTACCGACGCTTGAATACAACAGTCCTGTAGGTTGGTCGCCTTCGAGTGGAGGAGAAGTAGTCGAGGTTGCGTCGATTACCACCGTCCTGACCTCTGCAGAGTCGCCAGTTAGCGTCAGTAAATTAGGAGAGAGGAGGATGAGGGGGAGGTGATCGTGAAATATTAAGTGTGCATTGTGATTCCCGGGGCGCGTGTGCTGTGTGCCAACAAAATCTAGTTGGTGTTCGCGAGTAAAATGAAAGTGTAAAAGTGAAAATAAAAATTGATTTTGTGATTCAATACCGAGAATGGAGTTCACACACACAAAAAAATGTGGGAAAAACAGTGTCTTTATATCAAACCACGTGATCAGTAAACGCAATCTACGTAGTATCCTCTAGATAAAGAATGTTTATTTACACGTTAAAATAGACCTCTGATCACTAGTTAAGATACACAGACTCTGTTACTGAAGTCATGACAGTGTAGGAAGTCAACGTTGTCATAATATAGCGCAAAGGCTCGTAAGGTCAGACAGTAAACGAAGTCGTAAGTGGTCACATATAATTGGTCATATAAGTCTATATATAAGATGCGAAGATGGGAAATTCAGAAAAAAATGGTAACGAAAATGTGCTCATTAACTGAAATTTGTGCTACAGTTTCGGCAAGAGATAAAATATTGTAAAATATAGTTTGATAGTAAAATGAAGTCCTTTGGTAATAGATAAGTTTGATTTTTACGTTATCATAATTTTTGTTTGACTGGATTAAACAAATGAAAATAAAAAGTAAGAAAGAAAATAGGCCACGACAGATAGACAGATAAAAGTAAAAGTAAAAAAGAGAGAGAGAGAGAGAGAGAGAGAGAGAGAGAGAGAGAGAGAGAGAGAGAGAGAGAGAGAGAGAGAGAGAGAGAGAGAGAGAGAGAGAGAGAGCGACCGAGAAAAAAAGTATAACAAATAGAGAAACGGAGAGAGAATAAGAAAAAGAAAGAGAGAGAGAGAGAGAGAATCATGACATACCATTAGCCTGTCGTCGTTTCCTGCGCATTTCCTGACCTTCTGCGACCTCGGCTGGACAGATGTACGTGTCTTTGTCAATGGCCACTGGGGAGATCGTTAACAGATTATCATTAACTTTTTATTACTATCATCATTATTATTAACATTATCATTATTATTATTATTATCATTATTATTTACCCTATTATTATTTACCCCACTATCCACGTATTATCTACTTATCTATCTACTTACGCTCATCCGACCCCTCCAGGCAGTCGAGAACGCCATCTCCTACGAGAGCCACGTCGATGCACCTTGGGAAGCCGCAGAGGCACTCATGTTGCCAGTCGTCGCACACTGCAAGGGGGGGGAGGGTCGTTTTAGTGCCTTTTCGTGGTCACTTTATAGTCTTAGTGCCTTAGTGAAAGCTGATTAGGCGTGTGTACTTAGGGAAAGGATAGCCAAATTAAAAGTACGGATGCGAGTGCGTATACACATACCCATATACACATATACAGGCATACATACATACACATACACGCATACAAATACACACACACACACACACACACACACACACACACACACACACACACACACACACACACACACACACACACATATACAAATACATGCATACATACATACACGCACCCCCACGCACGCACACACACACACATAAAAAAATACAAACAAAATAAAATCACACAAGAAATATAAATAAAAATAAAATAAAAGAGACTCCCCCTAAATCAATCACAGAAAACGTATTCACCTTCATCAGTTTCGTCCAGGCAGTCTGGCACGCCGTCCTGTAGAAGGTCAGGTGCCACGCAGGCCGACCTGTCTTCGCACACGAACCAACCATCAGGGCAGTCTGTAATAGAGAGAAAAGATTTATCATGGCGCAAAAGGAAAACTGATAAAGGTAATAATGATAACGATAATAATAATAATAACAATAGATGCAGTCTTTATAATCATCTACGAAGCTATAGAAACGCTAATAAACGACAGCAATAATAAAAAATAATAAACAGTAATAGCAATAACAACAGAGATGACGATAACAATGATAACGATAACAACAACAGCTCAAACAATCGCATTTTTTCTCTTCTACCATCTTCATCTCTTTCTTTCAAATCCCATCCTTTGTTCTATGCCTTTCCCTTTCGGACACAACCCCCCTCCCCCCCTTACCCTTTGAGACACGCATTACGCAATCAGGTCCTTCAGCCAATCAGAGGGGGGAGGTGGGGGGGGGGTCACGCACGACGCGCCTCTCTCTCTCTGCGACGTCTAAGAGGACGCGTGACTCAGCAAGAATAATAATAATAATAATAATAATAAGAAGAAGAAGGAGGAGGAGAGGGAGAAGGAGAAGGAGGAGGAGATGAAGCAAGAAGAAGAAGAAGGAGGAGGAGAAAGAAGAGGAGGAGGAGGAGGAGGAGGAGGAGGAGGAGGAGGAGGAGGAGAAGAAGAAGAAGAAGAAGAAGAAGAAGAAGAAGAAGAAGAAGAAGAAGAAGAAGAAGAAGTAGGAGGAGAAGAAGAAGAAGAGGAAGAAGAAAATAAAAGGAAAAAAAGAAAATAAGAAAAAGACAATGAGAAAGATGAAGAAAAAGGTGAGGAAATGTTATTTTCGTGATTTCGGGGGATTTTTGTGACGTGATAAATAAAACTCAATGAATTTGCAATGGTATTGATATTTATAATAATGATGATAATAATAGCAACAACAACAATAATAATAAAAATAATAATAATAATAATAATAATAATAATAATAATAAAATAATAATAACAATAATAGTAGAGTAGTAATAGTAGTAGTAGTAATAATGATAATAATAATAATAATAATGATAATAATAATAATAATAATAATAATAATAATAATAATAATGATAATAATAATAATAATAATAATAATGATTATGATAATCATGATAGTGATAATTACAATAAGGACAATAAAAATTATGACTCCAATAATAACACCACTGCTTCTGGCACAATTACTGCTACTGCTGATAACGATCAACACCAATTATCTTAACTATATCCATCACAATTTTTTTTTTTTTTTTCAATATTCAACGACCACGAGAGATAAAATCGCATCGCCTATTCATATAATCAATACCCCCTTTTATAATTAATACTTTGTACAATAATCAATACCTTTTTTTTGGCGGGGGGATGGGGGGGGGGATAACGTACCAAAGTCGTTTTTTACTTTTTTGCTTTTCATCGTGGTGGTGGTCAGCGGCGAGGGATGGGCGATTGAGTATAGGAACTGAATATCATGGGGTCGAGATAAGCATTTCCTGCCTTGGGATTCCCGGAGAGAGAGAGAAAGGGGGAGAGAGAGGGAAGGAGGGAGGGAGGGAGAGAAGGAGGGTTGGAGAGAGGGAGGGAGGGAGAGAAGGAGGGTTGGAGAGAAGGAGGGTTGGAGAGAAGGAGGGAGGGAGGGAGGGAGGGAGGGAGGGAGGGAGGGAGAGAAAGGGGGAGAGAGAGGGAGGGAGGGAGAGAGGGAGGGAGGGAGAGAAGGAGGGAGGGAGAGAGGGAGGGAGGGAGGGAGAGAAGGAGGGTTGGAGAGAGGGAGGGAGGGAGGGAGGGAGAGAAGGAGGGAGGGAGGGAGGGAGAGAAGGAGGGTTGGAGAGAAGGAGAGAGAGAGGAGGGAGGGAGAGAGGAGGGGAGAGAGGGAGATAGAGGGGGAGGGGAAGGGGGAGGAAAGGAGGGAGGAAGGAAGGAGGGAAGAAGAAAGGGAGAGCAGGAGAGAAAGGAAAAGAGAGAAAGAGAGAGAGAAAGAGGAATAGAGACATGCATACAGACAGACTGATAGACGTCCAGAAACAGAAATTCCCGAAGAGGGTGTTCAGAAGGTGGGTTGGGGGGGGGGGGAGTGGGCGGCCTTCGCGGAACTGCCTCGCCCCCCGAATAATAATAATAATAATAATAATAATAATAATAATAATAATAATAATAATAATAATAATAATAATAATAATAATAATAATAATAATAATAATAATAATAATAATAATAATAATAATAATAATAATAATAATAATAATAATAATAATAATAATAATAATAATAATAATAATAATAATAATAATAATAATAATAATAATAATAATAATAATAATAATAATAATAATAATAATAATAATAATAATAATAATAATAATAATAATAATAATAATAATAATAATAATAATAATAATAATAATAATAATAATAATAATAATAATAATAATAATAATAATAATAATAATAATAATAATAATAATAATAATAATAATAATAATAATAATAATAATAATAATAATAATAATAATAATAATAATAATAATAATAATAATAATAATAATAATAATAATAATAATAATAATAATAATAATAATAATAATAATAATAATAATAATAATAATAATAATAATAATAATAATAATAATAATAATAATAATAATAATAATAATAATAATAATAATAATAATAATAATAATAATAATAATAATAATAATAATAATAATAATAATAATAATAATAATAATAATAATAATAATAATAATAATAATAATAATAATAATAATAATAATAATAATAATAATAATAATAATAATAATAATAATAATAATAATAATAATAATAATAATAATAATAATAATAATAATAATAATAATAATAATAATAATAATAATAATAATAATAATAATAATAATAATAATAATAATAATAATAATAATAATAATAATAATAATAATAATAATAATAATAATAATAATAATAATAATAATAATAATAATAATAATAATAATAATAATAATAATAATAATAATAATAATAATAATAATAATAATAATAATAATAATAATAATAATAATAATAATAATAATAATAATAATAATAATAATAATAATAATAATAATAATAATAATAATAATAATAATAATAATAATAATAATAATAATAATAATAATAATAATAATAATAATAATAATAATAATAATAATAATAATAATAATAATAATAATAATAATAATAATAATAATAATAATAATAATAATAATAATAATAATAATAATAATAATAA